ACACACTACCAACCACGTAAACCCGCATAGTCTCGTTCCTGATATTAGCAGCTTCCTCGAGTCCGTCCCGTCCGCAGCCAATACAGACGCCGTGACCCTGCGCGACGCGGTCATGACGGGAATACCAGGCGCAGCGGCCTGGCTCGGGGTGGAGGAGCGATACCACGACGAGGTATGGGGCTACCTGCAACCTACTCTGGAGGCCGCCGCCCAGGAGCTACAGTCCAGGGACAGGGGTGGTTCAGATGGCCAGGAGGCGGATGGCCCTGCTGTACGACGTCTGAGGATGATCTTGAAGCATATGCAGACTGGTCCTGGTGCGATGGGGAAGTAGCACTTAGGGGGTAGATGCGGTTGCATGGTAGTGATATATCCAGATGGTCTTGCCCTGGTCCAGCATCGTCTGGTATTATAGTGTGTGCAGCTGGTAGATTTGTCCATCAAGTTGAATTTATAGCGCCGCGTCAAGCGACGAGCACCTTCTTGATTTATCGGGTATAAATATATATCTATATTCAATTATAAATATCCAAATGCACGCATACACCTCGTGAGATATACACCTAACCTGAAAGCCAATTCGAATGCACACAATCAAGCTATTCAACACCAACAATAGAAGAACCACAAAGCCACAAGATCAACCAGCCACAATTTCCTGAATCCAGTACAGTGCAGACAGTAGAGTACATCCATCGCCCACGCCACAAAAACAAAACCTCTTCCACACTTGCCTCTAAACCAGGTACCTCACCATAGTACCACAATCAAATAGCACAGACCGACAAACCCTGTTCTCTTGACCCAGCACCTTAGCAGACAGACAATCCCTTGTCCGCTGCAGCGCCCACCACCCAAATCCCCGGATATGTACTCCGTATCCAGCTCCCATACTCCACCACCATGCATGTTCAATCACACACCTGTCCCAAACCCAGCTACCCAGCTAGTACTAGCTACAACAATCACAACACACAAACATAAACACACCCAGCTACTGAAGCCCCGAACCAGAAGGACATATAGAACCCCAATGGATATCGGAGGTAGTATCTGAATATGACGCGGTAATCTACCTGCCCTACCCCCACAAGCAACAACCAGAAAAATAGTCCATGGAATTGGGCTCACAATCTTCCTCCCTATCGGTTCAAACAGGTTGATTTTAGTTCGCTACATCTCCGGGTTTCAGCACGGGCTTCGGTTTCGGGGAAAGGGTGTGATTCTACCAGCAGGTCTACATGGGACCGGTCGACCGGGATATATAGATCGGTAGCACAGTTGCGCTTCGGTCTTGTTGGGATCTGTGCAGATGAGTACTGAGGGCTGACTGATCTGATCTGCGTAGTTGTATAAACTCCGAATCTCCTCGCCTCTATTCTCATTCTTTGATACATGCCGACTACTACAGTATTTACAGATGTCCAGGACAAACCTACCTTATCTTATCCTCCTAGAGGCGAGAAGCAACACTCACCACTAAAGCCCAAGAATGCTCATCGAAAACATCACCAAATAGTTCCATACCCAATCACTAGTTAGATATTATGTACAATTAAATAAGGAACCACCACCCTACAGCCTCGAACCTCGAACCTGAGGGCCACCAGCCGACAACATCCGCTCAACTCCTCTCCGACCAAATCTTCGTCTCCAGCGTCTGCAACGACTCGACCGTCAACGGCGCCACGAGCCCGACCATCGAATTGCGCCAGAGATTATTCGGCGGCGCCGGACGCAGGCTGCTGCTACTCGACGACGTGGAGGGCGGGGTGGTCGGATACGGATTCGAATCCAGGGTGGAGGAGCTCGCGCGAGCAGCCAGAATATCACCATGGCTGCTGCTGCTATTCGTCGCCGTCGTCGCCGTCGTCATGCTCTTCGCGCTCAGAGACTCGCCCGCCGAGGAGGTCGGTCTCGACGACGAGGACACCAACCCCGGGGTTAGGCAGCTCGGATGATGCCCAAAATACGGGCTGTCGAGAGGGGCCGAAAGCTGGGTCTCGGCGCTGCGGACACTGCTCGCTGTCTTGGAGGCGGTCGTGCCGGTGGTGGCCTGGGATTCGGCGCGGGGGCGAAAATGTGGCGAGGAGGCCATCGTGTCAAAACTGGGTCGTCGTCGGGGGTCATCCACCGTCGTTGTTGATGTCGTCGTCGTCGTCGTTGTCGTCATCGTAGGCCCCTCCTCCTCGGAATTCTCTTCATACTCCTGCCCGGCGGGGATATAGCATTTCGAGATCAGGTCGTTCTGGATGCACATGATCTTGTTCAGGGCGCGGATGAGGGCGAACTTGAAGCGGACGGTCATTTCCGGGTGGAGCGAGATCCACTCGATCAACGCGTCTTCCACGTACCGGAGGCAGGCGTTCATGTGGATGTATTCGATGTTCAACGGGTGCAGCAGTTCTTTACCGGTGTGCATCCTCCTTTTAGGGGCCATGTTAACGAACTGATGCGCGCAACATCTGAGCGAAAGAGCCGGAGGACTCACCCTACCTTCTCCAGATACTCCCAATACTCCATCTGGCTCGGGTCGTTGCACAGCCGGGTCAAATACCACTTCCAAAAAATCTTGCGGCGCTCCACGTGCGGACTGTCGATGGTGAAGAGATCTTCCACGTGCGCGTGGCAGGCGGTGTTGCGGGTCCGCAACGCGCGGGCTGTGATGTCGAACTCGAGCATTTTGGAATACAGGCGATGCGTGAGGTCTGGGATCGCCGTCTTTAGGTACTTGACGCCTTTGTTGAAGACGATTATATCATCTTGTGGGCAAACCCAGGTCAGAAACTTATTCGGAACAATCAGGGAGAAATCTGCACCTTCCACCAGATTCAAAAAGGCCTTCAAATACGCAATGCGCTTCTTGAAGTCCGTGTATAGCTCCCGACGATCCACATGTCGAATATCAAACTGATCTAACTTAGGCCGATTGGGCATGGTGGCAGGATGTGTAGCGGATAGTTTCCGATACCTTTGGTGTTGGATGCTGAGATATCCAATTCACGTGCACCGAGAATACAATAAAGCGAGTGAAGGTATCAGAGGCGTCAGTGGCCAGCCACTAAGCACTGCTTTTATCGTGGGTTGAATAGTAGGGTCAAAAAAGATCACGAATCGTTGGACGTGAAAGAAAAAGCAGCGCAGGGCCTCGCGTGTGTCAGGGACAGGAGGACCAGCATTTGTACTATCTCCGAGCAGCAACAGTAGCAGCAGCAACAGCAGCAACAGCAATCTAATTACCCTTAGCAGGCGACTTTTCAGCCCTTGAGTGCCTGCCTGCCTTCTTCGGGGAATCTGGGCCCTGTCGCACGCAACCCGAGGAGCTGACTTCCCTGCCATGCTCCACAGGACCACCGCTACAGCAGGTACACACATCCAACGTAACCCCCCGAGCATGCGCTCATCTCCACGGACTTGTGCGAGGGGAGAGCGGACAGGACAGGACAGGACCGCCCACCATTATTTTTCTCCAGTCGGCACTGCCCACTTTCCTATCCCACCCGCCATCATCCTGCCCCATCAAAGACCGGCGCTGAGCACGACTCATGTCGCGGCCCAATGACCAAACGGCGAATAGATTAAGATGGAATTGAAGCGAAAGACAAGCGCCCCCCACTCTCACCGGAAAGAGGCGAAATCTTCCCCCTGTCATTAGACCCAGATTCGAGATTGCGAGTGGTCCAGCAGCTTTTCAGCTCGCGCCGGGTACCATTGCCCCGATCCCACCCCGCAATTGGGTGGACAATGTTGAATGGACGTACACAGTAGTCATGGGTGGGATTGGTGGTGGAGCATTCATGAACGGAGATGATCAGTAGGGTGAATCGTAATAAGGGGGGCGATCCCCGAACCACACGAGGAGGGGCTCGGCCGAGGGCAGGTTTTTCTAGGCCGGGATATCGCCGGAGGGGGTGATCAGAGATGGTCGTATTCAAGGATCATAGTTAATAGTGACGGGAATAGGAAAAGACAGGACGGATGGGTGGATTAATGGCGAAGACCGCTTGGTCTTGTTTTGCTGTTGAATGTTGCGGCTGGCGTTGCCCGCGTGTGTTGTGCCGTCGTCGGAAGGGGCCGGAAATCCCGGACATCGATCTCGGGGGAGAGTCCGTCAGCACAGGCACACCTGGAAAAGCAAGCGATCAGGCCACTTGAAACAGCCACCAATGACCATGAATCATGTTGGAGATTGCAAGTGGAGTCAGGCACCGATCTAGATTGGCCTTACCAGGCCTCCCTTCAAAGCTCCAGGTGTCAGTCAATTCGATCAGTTGTTAACTTGTTTCCAATGGTCGAGATGGATCAACAACAAAAAAGGAGCCAAACAATAAACAAATACGAACCAAGCTAAGATCCTTAGATAAGCGTAGCCAACAACAGCCATTTTCACCATCGCCACCATGCATGTATAAGACATCCATCCCTGTCCCATAAGCAGAAAAAAAAAACGAATCATTCGGTTCATCTATCTGGTCATGTCCGAACACGAGCCCAAAGGAATAGAGCCCAACATGCTACTATATGCATCGAGAATCATGGAATCAACTCCGCTCGTGACAGTAAAGCTAAACATGAGCAACTATCTGATCTATCCACCAGACAGTCGCTCTACGAACCCGGTTTCACGTTGTAATCCACACGAGGGGTCAAGAAGGGCCAAGGATCCCCAGCTAGGGTATGTTTCAAATGTCACTGCACTCGGTCCCAGGAACCTAGACGCACCTGCATACAATGAGCGCGGGCTATAGTTGCCTGTGAAGGCGTGACCCCCACCCACTCATCTTAATACATCATCATCCTAGCGCTCGAGTGCATCACTACTACTTATGATGTACACATATACCCCCTATCACGAGGTAATGCACTGTCAAGTTTCTCGTGGATTTTGCCCGAGAAGGCAAGCTGAGCTAGGGGTGGGATATCCATTCGACTCAGCACTTGTGCCTCCCGACATGTCAACAACATCGGATAGAAGAATAAGCACTTGCTATTGTGGTCAAATTATACCAAACGGTCCAAGAATAACCTTCAATTGATGTCCTATACTGCTTGTATTTTACAACCACCGCAGAAAGAATCAAACGTCTAAGCCCCATCAAAGGCATGCATGCATGGATCACAGCAAAGCAAAGCGAAAAAAAAATAAGACTGACTAGGGTATGTATCAACATGGCTGCAAGATCATTTTCATCCAAAAAAACAAAACAGACTCTAACGCGCAAATCACAGCTCTAGGCTGGGAGTCTGTCCCTTGACGCGACCAATCACAATGTGGGCAGCGTACTTGGGGATGACCTCGTCGTCGTGGAGCATCGCGAATTCTAAAGTAGCTATGGTCAGTCTCATTTTTCTTGACATCATTCACGAGGGAAAACACACCTTCAGTGGCATCGCGACCCATGAAGTTGAACAAAGCATTGGCGCCACCGGGGTGCTCGTCCAACCAGTTGGTCACGTCCAATACAACACCCTTAACCACGATCCACAGGTCCTCCTTCTTGTTGTGCTTGGCCACCTCCTCCATGGAGTACTCCGTCTCGGGAATACTGAACTTGGCCGGGCTGGTCGGCTTGGCAGACTCCGGAGCACCCGCGGGGGTGGCGCTAGACTTCGCGGCCTGGACGGAGTCAGCAGGAGTTCCGGCAGCCGCGGAGACTTGACCACTACCACTACCGGCTCCAGTCCATTCGACGGCGATCTTGCCCGGGGTTGACGGGTCGATGTGCAGGGAGATTTGGCCCAGACGCTGTTGTGCGGTGGACGCGCCACCGGAGAGGAGACGCTTGAAGAGGAACTGGCTGGCGCTGTCACCGGCAACACGGCCGTAGACGACGCAGCCCAAGAGCGAAGAGCCACCCAGGCGGTTAGCGCCGTGGACACCGCCGGCAAGCTCACCGCAGGCGTAGAGACCCTCGAAGGGCTTCTGCTCGCTGTTCAGGACCTCGGCGTGCTCGTTAATCTCAATACCACCCATGGTGAAGTGAAGAACGGGCTCCATAAGGGCCACGTGGAAGTCATCATCGATGCTGAAAGGCAGGTTGTGGAAGAAACGCTTGCCCCAGGGGTCCTTCTTCTTGCCATCGGCGATGGCATTATAGTCGTCGAAGGTCTTCTTGAGGGCAGCCTCGCCGCAGCCAATCTCCTTGGCGAGCTCCTTGCCGGTCATCTTCTTCATCAAGCCACGGCCGGAGTAGTGACGAGTGTGGAAGTCGAGCACATTGGAGGCCTTGCTGTTGAGCACAAGGCGGATGGGCCATTTGTTCTTCTCCTTCTCCTTCCACATCTGTCCAGAGACGTAGTCACGGTGACCCAGCTCATCCGAGAACCGCTCACCGTCCGAGTTGAGGAGAAGACCACCCTCACCACGGAGCGCCTCAGCAGCCAGGAACTTGAACTTGGCGGTGGGGTCCTTGGGGTCGACAAGACCCGTGGGGTGCACTTGGACCTTGTCCATGTCGATTCCGTTGGCGCCGATCTCCATCAACATCTTCTGGCCATCACCCGTGGCGTGGGTGCCGTTGGTGCTGGACAGCCCGAAGGTGTCCGGACGGTGCTGCTTGAGCAGGGATCCATCGCCAAAGTCGGCAGCGTAGCCACCGGTGGCCAGGACGACCACACCATCAGCAGTGTGCGTCTCGCCGTTGTACTCGTAGGTGACACCTGTCACAGCATTTCCGGACTTGTTGATGGAGGTAACGCGGGCCTTCTTGATGATCTGGACACGGTCGGGCTCCGACTCGGTGAGCTCTTCTAACCGTTGCATGAGGGCGTAGGTTATGGCCATTCCGGGGAATTTGGCATCGTGACCACGGTGTGTGCGGGGCTGGGAGTGACCACTGCGCAGAATTAGCATGATGGCTCGAAGTCACCAAGAGTGTCCGGTCACAAGCAAAACTCACCCCAGGCGGGAAACTAGCGTCAAATCGAGGTTGAAGACATCCTGCAGCCACTCGACCGCGGAAGCAGAATTGTAGGTCAGGACCTTGATGAGATCCGGACGAGCTTTATCTCTGGCCGATTTGAGGGTATCTTCGTAGAAGGTCTTGACACTGTCGGGGATTCCCAGGTCGACCTGGGTGCGGGTCAGGGCGCCATTGATACCGGAAGTAGCCTTGGTGGAGTTGCCACCGAAGAAGGCTGGTCTGGAGTTAGCCTCGAGGACAGAGATGGAATATGGCGATATCGAACTGCGATCTCAATCGTATCACTCGCCACTTCAAGGGGAAAGAAAACGCACCCTGCTTGTCCAGAACGAGGACATTTCCACCGTTGAGGTAGACGGTGTGGGCGGCACTAAGACCGGACACTGAGCGACGAGGCAATGGTCAGCAATGCGGGGAAAGCTGGAAACGGTTAAGTCGGAGTCACTCACATCCACCGCCAACTACAATAATCCTGGGGGCAGTCGTCATGATGTGGGGGAGTGTGTGAAGGGGATGGAGGATAAGATGAGTAGAGGTGAAAAAAAAAACAGAAGATAGATTGGGAGAAGGAAAGGTAAAAGTATTTGAGGAAAGACAATAATGAATGATGGGGCAGATCTTAAGAGAAACCCCCAGTGATCCGGGGGAGCGAGAGAGAGCGAGAGGGAATTCCAATGTTCAGAAGCCGATCGGGGGAGAGCTGCTTTATCGGCCGAGGCTCATCCCATACCCTGTCCATACCATACGTACTGATACCGTCTGCCTGCCCCAGCTCTAATCCTCAGGTACTGTACGGGAACAGCTAATACTGGCAGACTTAATACATCTTCACTCAGTCTGTGCTATAACTAGTACTCTACACCGTAGCCCATATCAACCAACAGGGTGACCTCAATCAGACTGCTCATCCAAAACTAGAAATCCAACGACCTTGAGGAGGATGATAACTACAACCTGCCCACTGGAATATATGTTCCATGTATGTATATTGGCAGACGAACCTCGCTCCTTCAAGCTACATATCTTCCCATCCATACCATCACATGCCGAAACGCGAGTTGGTTTTTTCCCCAGAAAAGTCAGCAGATGCTTTCTTTTCCCCAGCCCATGATGATGACACAATGGAGCTCGAGTCCCTTTCACATGCCGCCGCTGGGAAGAGCAAATGAGCGTGTAGGCTTAAGTCAGCCCGTCATTCCCCCGCGCGGACGATCACTTGGTTTTCTCATCTTGGAAGTTCAAGTTTGCAGTGCCACTGTTTAAGGTATCTTTCCCCGCCTGGGGAAATCCTACTGTGTGTGTCTCCCTCAAGCACTTGAACACTCCAGCACTTACGAGATTCCTACAACTAACTTACCGTTACCATTGAGTCCTCCTATATTACAGTGATCGAGACGAACCCAGCCGCAATACACCCAAAACATGAACCAGTAGATACCTTTGTAAGCTGGAGCTGTGTATCAATCAACCAACCCCAGAGACGAACACACCTCCCATTCTTCAGCGGACTAACACCCCTGTCCAAGTCGAATGTACCTCGGACCGAAGAATCAGATGGTGGCTTGATTGATCTACTTCAGTACAGTACTTCCCCTCCCGAGTCAATAGGTGAGCCACACCGACCCTTCCAACCTCCTCACCTTGAAGAACAATACTACAGGTACCATCTCAAGCGACATCAACCACACAAACAACCGCCACTCCCCAAAACATCCAGACCGTACAAGACACAGTACTGTACCATAATACCCCACAATCCACCCTCATGGTACATGTAACTAACACCAGGTTACCCTCGAAACCGGCAATTGATCACCTGACCCAGACAGGTCGGCTACTGCCCACCCCTGCCCACCTGCTGACACCACCACTTAATCCCACCAATCAGCTCGCCCTTACACGAATTCCGAAACTGCACCCATGACGTAGTTGCTGTCGTCTATTGAAATTCCCGAATCGAGCAGGCTCAGTTGCCGCCCGGGGCATGCACGCATCCGTCATGCTCATACCTCAACCCCTATTTGCATGCGGTGGGTTTAAGGTTATCAACAGAACGATGAAATAGAGAGAAGAGATCTTGAGGGCTTGGCTTGGTATGGAATTCTGTCTGCTGTATTGTTGCACGGTGCGAAGCTTGTTTCTGTAATTTACCTAACTGGATGGGGCTTCACCCTCGGAGCGAGATAGCCCGACCGTAGGGGGACGAGACGTCGGGGATTCGGGGTAATTGCTGCTGGTCGGTTCGTGATTCCCTGCTGTCTGTGCGAGCTGGGATGCCATATATGGGTGATTCTCGGGTTAATATCTACCTCTCGCGAGGGAGGGATACGTTGGGAGGGGGCATGTTGATGCGTCCCCGGGGGGAAGAATGTCAGGTTCATCGCTCACGGCGGTCGAGGATATCATGCACACCGCGCTAAAAAAAAGGTTTCTATATACAGTACATCAGATCGTGTGGATCTTGCTTGCTTGCTTGCTTTTACGTCGGGTCTAGTCCATCCAAGTCACGCTCTTGGTGACAAGGAATTCCTCCAGTCCTTGGGATGAGTTGAACCGGCCCCATCCGCTGTTCTTCACTCCGCCGTGGGGAAGGACGGGCTCGTCATGGACGGTCATGCTGTTGATATGGACGGCACTGCAAGCGTGGCGGTTAGCAAACTGGATTCGGGAGTCAGGCACAGAAGGAGACGTACCCTGATTGAATTTTCCGCGCCATCGCCAGACCTTTGCGCAGGTCCTCCGTGAACACCGCCGCAGACAGGCCATACCCACTGTTATTCGCCAGGCGGATGGCTTCTTCGTCGCTGTCCACCACCATACAGGCCGCCAACGAAGCGAAGGCCTCTTCTTGCCATACGGCCATGTTCTCCGTCACGTCGCCGAGAAGAATTGGGGGCATGCGCACGCCACCTCCAGCCTGGGCTGTCTTCTCATCCACCGAGCCAGAAAGCAGCTGGGCGCCATTCTCAAGGGCATTCCACACCAGCCGTTCGACCCGCTTCTTGGAAGCTATGTTGACCAACGTAGGAGGAGGCGACGAGGAGTCAAGGTTGGAGTTAAGCGCCGCCTTGAGCGCGTCGATGAAAGCCGGGGCGATGGAGGAGTGGACAAGGATGCGGTCCGTGGACATGCAGATTTGCCCCGACTACAGTGGCGTCAGAATGCCCCTCCCCCTCAGGAAATCGGATGGCAAAAAGAGAACTTACATTGAGGTAAGCACCCGCTAGGACGCCCTTCACGGCGGTCTCAATGTTGGCATCCGCGCGCACGATGGCACTGTTCTTGCCGCCCAACTCCATCAAGCAGGGCTTGAGGTTCTGCCCACAGACCGCGGCAAGCTTTCGGCCCACGGCCGTGCTGCCGGTGAAGTTGATTTTGCGCACCGCCGGGTGCTCAACCATGGCATTGACTACTGCAGGGGCATCCTGCGGCCGGCAGGAGATCAGGTTAAAGCAACCGGCTGGCACGCCTGCATCCACGAACGCACGGGCCAGCGCCCAGTAGCTGCAGGGAGTGGCTTCGGAGGATTTAAGGATCGTTGTGTTACCGGCGGCGAGCGCGCAGGCGGCCGCACGAACACCAAAGACGTACGGGGCGTTCCTTTTCGGAAAAAAGTCAGTCAATCTAATCGCACCTCCCCGAGTTGTGGAGAGAGCGTTGCCTGCCTTGCTCAACGATTGGGAGAACACGAAACATACCAAGGGACAATGCCCAGAATGACCCCCATGGGCTCCTTGTAGATCATCGCACTTTGACCCTCTTCCTCAACGACGGGCACACTGCCACAAATGGAAGTGATGCGCCCCGCAATGTCCCTGAGCATGCGAATCCCGAGTGGAACGATGAAGAACTGCGACGCACCCACATCTGCGCCCATCTCCGTCCGCATGTACTCCGCGTTCTGCTCGAGGCGACTTTCCAGAATGTCGGCCGCCTTCAGGAGAATATCCCGCCGCACGGTGGGTTTGGTCTGCGACCACGCTGGAAAGGCCGCCTCTGCTGCCTCCACGGCGCGGATGGCATCTTGCGGGGAGGCAGAGGCAGCTGCCCAGCAAGGTTCGTTGGTGTAGGGGCTGACGACTTCGAATGTAGACTCTGCTAACTCCTCCTTTCCATTGATGATCAAGGGGATTACCGGGGGACGAGTGGGAGGTGCAGTCACCGCTGATTTCGTAGCGAGGGGAGTATTCGTCATGGTGGGAAGGTAGGTGGTCTGTGGTATACTAGACTCAAAATCAAGCAAGTAGATCAAAGCATGCACTGGAATTGATATACACCCTGGCGAAAACCTGCAGGGTCCTGGCTTGGACCCCGCCACAGAGGGAGTGCGATCTCCATTTTTAAGTATGGCTGCTGGGTTGGTGAGGGAGAATAAACCAGGTCAACAAGAACGGGTCGGACGGTTAATCCCCACTTCCGGACTCAGCCTAGAGACTGTAGCAACATCGCTATGATTAGTGCAATCAACCATCACTTATTCTTGGTACTTATGGTCTCAGTGCAATTTATTCCATGTCGTGCGGATTGTGGCCTTGAATTGGACCTTCTCAAGGCTATGCTGAATATGCTCATCCTGCAAGTGATTCATTGTCCACATGCTTTGCACATGGTAACGTTATGCCGTCATGCCAGTCGATCCCAACGATGATTCTTACCTATTCCAGCTGACAGCGGATTAACCTTACTGAGACTATTGAAGATGCTAACTGCCCTAGACTCAACCTTGTCCACCAAACGACGTACCAAGTGATTCTTTGATCGATTTAAGAACTGTGTGTGGGCATCGTTCCGGTGCAATTGAACAGGAGGTCATCCCTTGACTTGCCGGCCTATTTAACCGATGGACACTGCACCGTTGATTTTAGGTAACGCACGACCTTTCTGGGCGTCACGGACAATTGATCGGCGGTGCCGACCATGGTCCAGCACCGCCAAAGGTGTAGACTATTGCTCCTAGACTCTGGTCAACAAGAAGAGCAGGACAAACACCATTGGCAAAGATCGAGGGAGCACTTTTGTCAGCGCAATCAATTGGGCGAAGCGATGAATCGGTTCTGGACTCTTTACGGCCGAAAGCACTGGATTCAATTTCGACTCCAATAATTGTCTGTGGTGGTGGAGTATCCACTCAGCGTGGTGGAGCAGCCTGGCCGGAGGGGAGACTCGGTGGGTTCTGGCTTCCTGGCATCTTGGTCAATCAAAGGGCGATCTGACTCCGATGATCATCTGTATCGGGGAAGAGAAGAGCTGAAATGCTCCATCCCAGTTCCCTCCTTGGCTGCTAGGCTGCCATTCATATGCGCATATTTGTCTGCCCACACCGGATTTGACCGGCTAGTAGTCGAATCGATCGTGCAGGTGCAGAGCGACGGTGGTGAGTGCGCGACTTGTGGAAGATTCCATCTCTTGATACTCAATTGTCAGATTCTCTCTAGCTTTGTGTCACGAGAAAAGGAGGCTGATGCCTCGGTTGCATTCTTACTTTGTACTACTCCGTAAGTACATAGTATATAGGCAATCAATCGAGAGCCGATGGTCGTCAAGCTTGA